CTATAAATACAAAGGGAATCCCCTTACAATGAATTAAGGCAAAATTAATGTTTTTCTACGGAAAGTCCAATGGATTTACTTTTTAATACTTACAATCAACAGAATATTTCTAATATAAATTTTCAAAAAGACACCAGAGAGAAAATTTAAAAAAATCAATCAGACGGTAATAGCCACCGGCAAGCTTTGTCAATTTCACCAACTTGTTTATTTCAAACAGCGTTGTGCGCAAAGGTTTGTGGGTAATATGAGGGTCCAACTTGCCCCGAGTCAAGGGGGCCAACTAGCCCCGGGTGCACATTATTTATTTTAAAGGATGGTAGCCATTTATGGTGCTAGAATGAGCAACGATGATACATCTCTGTGAAACTTGAAACAATGAGCTTCAGTTTGATGCCCTATACATATCTTATATTCGATCAAAAGCCTATGAAAATAGATTTTTAAATCTCTTAAACAAAATTACTTTTAGGTGCAAAAAACGTTTATTTCGACCCACCGCTTAAGTGAAACTTTTTAACGTCCGACACTTCCTTAGCATTGTAGGCTACGGTCACTTTGCCAGAGTATGTGGCCAATTTTTTTACCTCGTAGTTACTTTTTCATAAATTGACGGGGGGCCAACTTACCCCGGGGTCCAACTAGCCCCGGTCTCCCCTATTTACGCAACTGCTACCAGCCAGATGCATAAGTAGCAAAAGATCATCGGGACGACTGCGCGTTTTCTATAAACGACGCAGTCAAAGGGCTTCGTGCATGTAGCAGAAACGGGCAACTTCATATGATAACCTTAGAAAAGCCGTTGGCATGAGGGCGGCTATAGCGAGACTGGCTGACTGGCAACTTCGTTGATGAAATGCGTCCTCTGCGACATCGTCCCTGCTTTGAAGCACTACACTGACAGGCAACTTCGATGCAGAATCGCACGCATTTTGCGAGATTGGGCCTTGTTGAGCCGCAGTTTGCAACTCAAACGGTTGCAAAATTCGGCTGAACACCCTGCGTTGACTCGCGGGTGACGCGTTGCAGTAACTTCGTAACAACTTACGCTTTATTCCGAATTTTAATGCCACGGGTAAATTTTACAGGAATCTCTGATACTTTGGGTGCTGTAAAGAAAATAATGACATATTCCACTGACACTCACCGAGGTCCTCGGGGGCTATGCTCTCAGGTCGACTTTGAACGTGTGTGCTGCCCCCTTCTCCGGCCTCACCGTCCACTTCTTTATCCCCTTCTGGGGCCTCTGGAAAACAAAAGATATTCAGTTAGAATTCGGCATAATTTAGACCCATGTAAAACCTAGAAAAAGGTAAATTAACAGAAATTCCATGTAGCGTATATATATATATATATATATATATATATATATATATATATATATATATATATATATATATATATATAATGGTGACATGTTTTATCACACCTGTTTATGTATTACTGGACGTTTTCTTATGACAGCAGAGAAAAAAGAGACATTCTCTAATTTAAGGTCAGCAAAGGCTGTCTCATGCTGGTTTGCACAAGGTGTGGTCATTGTTATGGAGATACCATGAGTCAACCTCGGCCGGTCAGTGAAAGCACTTCAATCCAACAAAATATTATAGGACAACAACCCCCCCCCCCCCAACCATGACAACCCCCCAACCAAGGCAGGTGTATTCAGGTACTATTATTACTAGCAAGACTTGGGGGGGGGGGGGGGGGAATGGCAGACAGTATGCCGCTACTCAAAGTGAACACTCTTAGTTGTCAGTGAATTTGCTACAGGTACAGGTAGGTACATTATATTGTCAGGCCCTAGCCAGAAATTTTTAAAGGGGGGGGGGGGCAGTCCGAAAAAGGGGGCCTTTTACCATGAAACCTTTGTCACCTAGTTCAAGTTTAACCAAGAGCGGACCTTTTCCCTGCAAAAAGGGCCGTTCATTTTAACACCCCCCATTAAATTAAGATTATTTTGGCTTTTATTATAAGTTAAAAATTCACAGAAGAGGAAAATAAATCTCAAGTGTTTGAGTAACAATGTAATGCAGCAACAACCCAATTTTGCACTCAACTCAAGGCACCAACTGCTACCTTGGATCATTGCTGCATTGAATGCAATAATTAAAAAACCAGTACAAGAATTTTTTCTCTTCAGTCTGTGATATCACATGAAGTATAGAATAAAGTTTCAGACATCAGTTTTGTTCAACACAAAATATAATTCATTAAAAAAAATTCCCAAAAATATGCTTTGTGGGTAATATGTAATGATTTGATATAAAAAATATGGAAATGTTTGACAAAAAAAAAAAAAAAAAAAAAACTGTTAAAAACAGTGTGCAATATGTCATAAAATTTTCCTTTCTTGAAGCAGTTTTTATAAAACTACATACTAGTACATGTATAAACAACTGGACAAATCAAAACATAATACAGTATTTACCTCCATTTACAAATGATAGTTGACTTAATGTTGTAAAGGATATTTCTGTGAGCAACTAAAAATAATAAAAAGTAGGGAAAAACAAAATATCCAAAATGAGAGAGGTGCCCCCGGTGTAACATGAAAATCTGACTCCCCCCATGAAAATTTGACTCCCCCTCCACAAAACTTCATAAATCTTATTTTATTTGAGTATATGACTGTGATCTTGTAGTATGTAAAATGGAGGATACATTGGCACTTTTTTTAGTTTGCAGGTGAATATTTTCATGAAAAAATAAGAAAATTAAAAATGTGCACTTAACCGCCCATTGTCTCCCCTATGAAAAAGCTATTTATATATGATATTGGATGATCATTTCTACATCTTTCCTTTAAATTTACTTTATGAAGATTATATTGGAAATATTTGAGAGTTTGATGGTAAACTATTGGGTGAAAAAAAAAAAAACAAGAAAAATAGAAAATTAAAAATGTGCATTTTATCACCCAATAACTCCCCTATGAAAAAGCTATCTATTTAATATTTGATGATCATTTCAACACCTTTCCTTTTAGGATACTTTATGAAAAATATATTGGAAATATTTAAAAGCTGATGATAAAATAGTGAGTGAAAGAATAAAAAAGAAATCATGAAAATCTTCATTTTTATACTCATGACATTTGGACTCCCATGAAGAAAAAGACCTATTTTATATTCAGTCACCATACCATTGTTTTCCACATAGTTTGCACAGAGATGTACATTTAGTTATTATTTGAAAGTTTGGTGGTGAAAATTTTGGTGAATATCTTTAAAACAAGTATTCATCTTACTACCTGTAGGTTTTGCACTTCCATGTCAAAACGCTACATTTTTAACTCAAGAAATTGGCCCCATCGCCTTTTTACTGAATTCCTCTTATATAGCATACCCAGCATTTTACCATTCAACCTTTCAAATATTTCCAATATATTCTTCATAAAGTATCCTTAAAGAAAAGATGTCAGAATGATCATCAAATATCAAATAGATAGCTTTTTCATAGGGGAGTCATAGGGTGTTAGAATATAAATCTTTAATTTTTCTTATTTTTTAATGTGTTTTTTTTTTCACCCAATTCTTTTACCATCAAACTTTCAAGTACTTTCAATATATTCCTCATAAAGTATCCTCAAAAAAGAAAAGATGTCAGTATGATCATCAAATATCAAATACGTATTTGTTTTTTGTTTGGGGGTGGTCGGCTCATGCCTTAGTTAAACTACCTCAGATCAAAATAACACGATCCAAGGCTGGGCCCCTGGGGACGTGTGTTTTGACAGCGCCCCTAGTTAAAAGCTTAGAGATTGTTGGTGGGACGCTAGGGGTTGAGATTTAATGCTCTAATTCCCTTTGTTTTCCTTCGTTACGTTTGTGTGAAGGAGTGATTTGATATATCAGATTAAAGTTATATCTGATGGAGTGTGTGTGCGTAGCTGTGTACAGCGTACTGCATGAGGCGTCTCACCTCAGCGTGGTGTAGAGAGAGGCGTCTCACCTCTGTATGAAAGTGACCAGAGAAAGGTTGTACGGGTCGTACAGCCTGG